CCTAAATGTAATAACATTTGGTCCTAAATGTAATAAAGCCCTAAATGTAATAACGTTCGGTCCTAAATGTAATAAGCCTTCTATGCAATCGTTTAACTGCGCTAACATTGAGATGCTAAAGTGACAGCTGTTGCACCAAAGAATCCTCTGACCAATATTCATGGGATATTGCGGGCTCACTGATATTAATCAGCGGCTTTTTATTTGTTAAAGACGTAGGTTGAGAAGCATTGGCTACAAAACCTTATTCTAATACTGACGTGCTTTTGGCATCAAATCGACGGACGCAGAAGCAACGAGAACGTTGACTAATAGCTCTCTCTATATCATTGGCTCCGACTCTTAAGTGTATCAGATTTTGACGAAATACTTCTGTCCTCAGTGCTGAAGTTAACACTTGATGAACCAAATTACAAGGAAAAAGAAGTCCACCGACTTATACGTTAGACAAATTTTGGGCTCAGAAGGGCATTTTTTGTACTGTCTTCCCTTGCCAGATTTGTAAGGGTTTGCATAAAATATATTCATATGCGTTATTGACCGAACGTGAGGTCAAAATGGCTATATATTGGCCGAGTTCTTTTTTTTTTGTTTGCGTTTTTATCGATTGAGACGAAGTCACGGTCCATAAAAAAGTAGAAAAAGAACGAGGCTAATATCCAGTAATCTTGACCATACAAGAGAGTTTATATTCTCTTGGCTTAATCATTAAAGGATTTATTGTATAGCAAAAGATTTCGCTTTGATAAGAATCAAGAATGGCCTGTTTATTTCGAGAGCCGATAGTGAAAGCCAACTGTGTTTGCAGCACAATAAACCCAAGAGGGTCGTTTATTTTTTCTATGTATATATGAAAACATTGTCCAAAAGTTACGAACTTTGTAAGTTTTCTTGCGTGAGATCAATACGGGGGATCCCGAACGGGCGAGGGTGGGCCCATCATGCCCGCTCAGGTAGCCAATCAGAACACAGGATTCACTTCATCTTGCCCGCGTGCGCTGCTAGCTATATGATAATGTGACTTGCAGAGCAAGATATCGACTGACCAATGATATGTTATCCCATTTCACGATCACAGGTCTCGACATGCTGCCTTTTTTCCACGCAAGAGTCAAATTGAACCATAGAGCTACACCATTCAACACATCATGATCAGTTGGCGGTCTAATGAACCATTTATTTCTTTCCTTTAGCCCCTTATGACGGGTTCATCAGTTCCCGAACCGAAATATTAGGAAAACATACATTTTAAAGTTGATCTCAAGTTTATATTTCATTTTTTGTCTTCACCTCTTCTCCCCGCTGTGAGGGGAGAAAATGAATAGATAAATAGATGAATAAAAAAAGAAAGCTCAACAGTTTCCACTTATAGTCATATGGTACATGAACTGATTACTGAGGTGGAGTAAAGCCATAGAGGGCTGGAAATGCAACACCCCAGGTTCAAAATTGAATAAATCAGGATAGTCATTCTTAAAAATGAACTCAAATGCTTCATTAGAATTAATTGACACTTAATGACATTGATGTGCAAAATTTCAATAACGCTACTGATAATAATAATTTTCTTTTGGATTAACACGGTGACACAGCGAAATCATTCAAACTGCTCAAAAATGGTGCATCACTTCTAAAGACTTTAACACGAACGATAACATCAACAATAGCATGCTAGTTCATCATCAATTGTAGTAAATTTCTTTTCCAAAAAGTCTTAATGGTTACGTACCAATCGATTCCATCCTATTGAGCTTCCAGTCAAGCACCAGCCCACTTTGGGCTGGAAATGATTTTCTTCAACTCGATCAATAAACCGCTATAGGGACCATACTTCGACTGCTATTTCTTATGTCTAGCAAGTAAAAAGACGCTGATTGATATCAGCGGGCCCCTAATGTGACATGTATACTGGTCAGCGGTTTTTTTGGAGAAACAGCTGTCACTAACATAACAATGTGGATGTCCGCCATAACAACAATGCACTGCAGGAGTTTTTTTAAACGATTGCATAAGAGGCTTATTACATTTAGGACTTTATTACATTTAGGACCAAATGTTATTACATTTAGGACTTTATTACATTTAGGACAGTTATTACATTTAGGACTTCAACAACTGCACCCCATCAAATTTTGTCCGAAATTTGGGCGATCGCCTATTCAGTGCAAAATAATCGAGGCCGAAAGAAAGACTTTGCCAGATTGGTATAAATCTTCTCCATGCTTCTTGGCTTAAAGCCGATTCAGTCCGTTTATTTTCAGTTTGATGGCGTGACAAGGGACAAAAATATAATGTTGATAAATTCCCGACTTTTCACCATGGATTTTTTTCTACTAACGCACTAACCTCGCGCAGAATTCCAACCTTTATGTGAAAAAAATTAATTCCCAGTGTCCATCACAAAAGCTTAAATAAACTTTATTATGTTCCTTCCAATGACGGAAAGATAAGGAGAGACGGATATTTGTTATCCTACTTTTAAAGCGGCGCCATCTAATCTACGTAAATGTGTTTCGGTTTTGTACGTCTAACTTTTTTACCGATGATGGATGTGAGCATACAAAAATGAAACAATTCCCTTTGGTTGCAGGTAACATCCGGTCTCAGTATACATTGTTTTAAAAGAACCGTTGGATTTTTAACACAAAATTACAATCAAGAGTTGTTACAATACTGAATTGGAGCTTCTGTCTTGAAACGGTAAGCTATTTGTTCTCGATGACTATTCTTTATGAGCTGTTCTAGGAGTCCATTACCCGGAGCTTTCAACTTCCATACTTACCCTCTCAGTCAACCCTCTTTTATTTATCTTTTATTTTTTAGGAGCACCTCCCACGGGGTTTTTCGCGGGTGTTTACATAATAGCCAATCATAGGAGAGCTGTGGTCAATTATTGTTTACGTCACATGCAGGTTGCACGAAAATATTTCAATAATGGCGAAAAGCGCGGAAAGTCAGCGTCTTTTCGCGGGAAATTAAAGAACCCCCCACATATTTGAGTTCTAAAAATAAAAAGATACGGGACAGGGTTGACTCAAGTAAAAATTGGTATGGAGGCTCCGGGTAATGGGCCCCTGGCTGTTCATTTGCCAGTAAGTGCGATTTGCGTCATCGAAGACAAAGTTGTAAATAAGAGGAACAACTGGGTTGATAAGTGTTGTACCTTTAAAAGACAACACATCGATACTTTTCAAGAATTTTAAAAAAAATTTTCAATTCTTGAAAAGCGTTTTTCTGAATGGGTCAAGTTTTTTCCACAGACTCTCAGTTCCTGAATCTCGTTGAAACTTCCTCCAAAGAACGAACGATTTTTCCTTCTGATGTTCAGGTGATATTGATTACTCGGAATTTACTGGAAGTTTCACTTTCCAATAGTAATAGATAATTGGGGTGGGGTTCAGGAGCCCCTAGCCCATTACCGGCTATAAATGGGCTCCTGGGTGGGTATAGGACCCGTGGGGTGGGTATAAGTTATCCGTTGCCAGAACGCAATGGGTAACTTACTATTTTCATGGCGAAAAGAAACAATATTTATTTACTTTACGTTCAGTACATTTGCAGTCTATGAAAGGGAACAAAATTGGCCCCCTTAAATTGCACCCCATCGATTTTTGTCCGAAATTTGGACGATCGCCTATTCAGTGCAAATAATTGACTCCGAAAGAAAGACTTTGCCAGGTTGGTATAAATCTTCTCGATGCTTCTTGGCTTTAAGCCGATTTATTCCGGTTATTTTCAGTTTGATGGCGTGACAAGGGACAAAAAAACAATTTTGATAAATTCCCGACTTTTTACCATGGTTTTTTTTTCTTCTTTTCTTCCAGGAAAAAGTTGATCTCCTTCGGAAGATCTTATACAAGTCCCTTTGCCTTCATCAAAATGAATAAGGAACGTTTCTAACTTCAAAAGGTAATTTGCATCGATGCTGACTGTTTTAGAAATCCAAACAACACTAGTATCGTTATTAAATCATAAGAATAACAACATTAACAGCATATAGAAATCTCACCGTCCCCTTCCCTGTTTAAGGGTAGACTACGACTTCTTCTTTTGAATGAGATATATTAGGAAAAAAACATCATTGTTTATATATCGATACCTTATGATATTTTTTCTAAAAACATCGACAAATAATGCATCTGTTTCAAGGATAAACACAATCAAAATGCAATATCATCAATTAAAGTTCGTATTGATTATGCACGGAAAATTTTTACAAACACTCCGTAAAATACAGGACCTTCACACAGAGGTAGCTAATATGGAACATTCCCCGAACACATGCAAAATCTATGAGTCACAATGTATTTCTAATTTAGGAAGCACGGATCAAAGGAAACCTGCTTTCTTATTTAATTTCTGCAACAATAGCTCCCTTGAGAGCCCAGTAAATCGGTTTGGTTAAGAGCATCCTCTCACACAATTGAATTGAGTTACTGTAACCTAAGTAGGAATCAGCAGGTCAAATAAAACCAGTTGGTCTCTGATTTGCGTGACTGGCGTGGCAGTGTAACGAACAATCCAGTAGAACAGAGGGCAAAGGTGTGTTCGTCTTTGACGGACAATGTAAAAAATCCATTTACAAAAAAAAGACGCTAGAGTCCAAACTCCGCAGAAAATATGTTTTAAACTTGTTAAATGAACCACAACATTTTGCTTAAATAAAAATTTCTCAAAATTTAATACTAAGGGTCAAAAAATTAGCCCGAACAAAACCTCAAAAGCAATTATCTAAAGTCCGTTAAAACAAGCAACAAAACTACGCCAAAAATCTCCACGTTAGTTTTCCAATGTCAAGGTTAGAGTTCTTCGACGTGATTTGCTAATTGTGAAATCACGTGCACCGCCTGTGAATACGAAAACAAAAATACAAGGCGGGGAGATGAAGATAAAAATTGCAATTTGAAATTTAAAACTTAAAAGATTTTTTACAAACAATCTGTGTTTAAGTTTTCACTAATTTCTCCTTTTTTTTCAAACTGAGAAGAAACAGGGTCAAGATGGACAGCATAAAAGAAGCTATATCAGCTATCTTCACGGGTATGGTGGTCGCCGACTTCCTTCGCGAAACTGGTCGCGTGTTGCAAGCCATCGAAGTATACAAGGAATGTTTGATTATAATACATAGTCTGGTGCTGGTAATCGATATTTCATTGGCAAACACTATGTTCTGTGCCATCTACTTGGCAATATTCTGTGCCTACGATTATATAAAGGATTACACAAATACAGAAAATTACCTTAAAGAACTTCTTCTCTACCTAGACTCTCATGACACCGCTGAAAAAGGATGGCTACATTTAAAACTGGCAGAAATACTTCGGGTACAAAGTAAGTTCATGGAGGCCTGGAAATTTTACGAATCAGCAATCAACATCATGAAAACGATTGGAGACACACATGGCCAGGGAGTATGTTACATAAGGCTCGGGAAAATGTTTCAATCGCTTAATCAATATGACAAGGCCCGAGAATATCAGGACAAAGCACTCGCTATCAGAATAGAAATTGGCGACAGGGATGGAGAAGCAACAAGCTACGGAAACCTAGGAACTTTGTTCCAATCACTTGGTCATTATGACAAGGCCCGAGAATATCAGGAGAAAGCACTCGCTATCAGAATAGAAATTGGCGACAGGGATGGAGAAGCAACAAGCTATGGAAACCTAGGAACTTTGTTCCAATCACTTGGTCATTTTGACAAGGCCCGAGAATATCAGGAGAAAGCACTCGCTATCAGAATAGAAATTGGCGACAGGGATGGAGAAGCAACAAGCTACGGAAACCTAGGAACTTTTTTCGCATACCTTGGTCAACATAGCGAAGCTAGAGTGTATGGAGAAAGCACTTCGTATCAATAAGAAAATTGGTGGAAAAAGAGGAGAGGCAAATAGTTATACAAACCTCACAGGTTTGTTTCTCTCGCTCGGCAAGTATGCAAAGGCTGATGAATATCTAAATAATGCAATGGCAGTTAGAGAGGGTATCGGTGATAGAAGCGGAGAAGCAGCAGATTACAGACACCTTGGGTTAATTTCTTGTAAGCGTGGTGAATATGACAAGGCTCAAGAATATTTCGAGAGAGCCTTTACAATTCACAAGAAAATTGGTGAGAGAAAAGGACTACTAGTCAATTACAGCGATTTAGGAATGTGTTTCCAATCGCTAGGTAAATATGACATGGCTGAAGAATACCTTAAGCAGGCTCTCCTATTAAGTAGGGATATTGGACTCAACTTGAAGGAGTTTCAGTGTCTTTGTCATCTATCGGAGTTAAAGGCGTCACAAGGTAATCTTGA